CATTGATCCCAGCACTCTGGAGGCAGAGGCTGATCCATCCCTGAGTCTGAGGCCAACCTGGTCTACAGAGTGAGTTCCTGGATAGCCAGGTCTACATAGTGGGGCTCTATCTCAGAAAAGGCAGGCTGGAATTTACAAGGCTCTATATTTTGACCAATATTCAATCTCTTTCCTTTAAGATATAGATTAATGGTGAGAAAAATTTAAATCTGTTCTTACCAATTTTTAAATAAGGCCGGGCACAATAGAGATAAATATACCTGAAGTCTACCTCTGGGCTCCATGTGTACACATAATGTCACACACATGCCCTATAGATGTAAAACCTACCAACAAGCATATTATTCCAATCTCAGTGAAGCTCTGTTGTCTTTAACCAATGCCTCACCTTTCCTGCTCACCCCAGGTTCTATTTTTAACCTTTAGAACAGTAGTTCTTGACCTTCCTAATACTGTGCCTTTAATACAGTTCCTCTTGTTATGGTGACCCCCAACCACAACATTATTTTCATTGCTACTTTATAACTGTAATTTTTCTACTGTTGTGAATCATAATGTAAATATCTGATATGCAGGTGACCTTAGGCGACCCCTGTGAAAGGGTCATTCGATCCCCAAAGGGGTCTCAACCCACAAGTTGAAAAGCACTGTTTCAGAAGAATAGAAAGTGAAGGATATAGTAAATAATTTGAGCAAACTATATCATAATACCACATTATTCCCCATAAATTATTCCAAAAATATAAATATGCCTTCTTTGTTGTATGTCGTTTATATAAGAAAGTTGAGCATCTGTAGCTTTGGGCAGTCCCCAAGCTCCTGGAACCAGCACTCCATAGATAGTGAGGGATGACTGTATCCATGGTGTTATTCAAATTGTTATTCGCCGCTTTAAATATATCAGTGCTCAACTTCATAAGTAGCATTTTCAGACATTCCCTGTAGAAATCTTGACATGGTGGCACACATTTGTAGTCTCTCGCTGCACCTAAAGGTTGCCACTTTGTCTAGTCTGGCTATTCTGCTTTGTCCATGGATTCACCGGCTTCGATTCCTGCCCCCCTAGGATTACAGGACCTCAAAGCTTTTTATCTGCCTTCTGGAGATCTGCTCTTTGCCATGCATACATTTTACTCACTGAGACTTCTCCTAACCCTGATAATGTGAATTTTTAATGTAAAGGATTCATCTATGATTAGTCCAAATATGGGAGATCTTGGGTAGAGGAAGGCAAGAGAAGGAAAAGTTTTGTTGAAGGAACTAGTTGGAAACGTATATGCATAAAGCACATTGAAGAAAACAGAAAGCTCCTTGTACTCAGTAACTGCAAGGAAAGCAAACATTTTGCATCCAGGTGTTAGAAGAGCTTGCCTGGCTGCTCTAGAGCTGGGTTCAGGACAGTATGTTCCATAGTTGATCCCTGTTCAGTTAAGCCAATGAATCTCAGTTCACCGCAGAGAAAATTTGCAGTCAATGCCAAATGGGGCTCCTGTAATACATACTCAAAGACCTGTTTTCAAAGCCCACCTGCCAGCAGCCAGACAGTAGACATAAGGTGAACACTCCTGTCTCTGTATTCCCCTCCTCCTGGAGCTCCAACTGCCCCTCAGCACGGAAGATTTCTGGAGAGGTTAGCTGCAATTCTCTTCACATCCCACAACTCCTGGGCTGCTACGCAGGGTTCCAACTAGAGCTGGAAATACCTTCAGCCTGGCACCCTACTATACAGTCTCCCTCTTCCCTTCTTAGCCATTCAGCTGCCTTTGGCCCCTGTTAACACAAGTCCTCCCCGCCCTGTTTCAAGACCCTATGCTGCTGGCCCATCTCAGCTAGGTGTTAGGAGAGCAAGCCCATGTGAATTGACACTGTGTGGTGAATGATTTAGAACCATTCCTTGGCACAAATAAGTGCAGCAAGGGTGCACACGCACACCCCTCTCCCTAACCCTGCAAAGAGCAGGCAGCTAGGGAAAGGAGGCTTCTGTATTTTTGATGATGTGTCTTCAGCAACAGAGAGCCAGTCCTAAAGTACAGTCTTGAAGTAGTAGGCTCTGACTTTGCAAGCTCATCAAATACATTCTGCTCTCCTCTTAATCTCCAGCCTTTCCCTTCTCCCTCAGAGCGATGGGACCCCAAGCATGGTTTGCACTGACTTTCATTAGTTTTTTTCTGAGTCCGAAGGTTTGTTGTCACATACATAGGTATCTTCATTTACTGCTTCTATTATGTGGCAATCTGTTGCTGACTCTAAGGGAACTGGAGGAAACGGGTTCTATCTTGTCCAAGTTTGGAGATTTGTACTAAGTGGAAGAGTGGCGTCACAAAACCCCCTCTTTCAGACTGTATCAGGGCAGTAGAACTTGTAAAGTGGGTATGGGGCAAGAAGATAGTCTGAAATGATTGCCTGGGGACCAATTGTTTTGTTTCTTGGGGAATGTAGGCATTTGGTAACTTTATTTGGATTATTCATGAAAGAAAGGGAGACAGTGGATTACATGAAGGATGCTTGGGAGAGGGAGAGGAAATACATATCTTAACTCCTGGACCAGAACAGCCTTCAACTGGAGCCTCAGTTTGGGGCTTGAGAACAAACATGGGATGAAAGAATTCTTTCCTTGGTCTATTCCAGACACGGCTTAATGAGATGGGTTTTGTTCAGTGCAGATGGTCCCAGGTTGTGAGATCATACTAAGGAAAGGAGAGGAACGCAAGGGGAGAGGGAAATAGAACAAAAGGAAGGAAGGATGAGAGAGAGAAAGCCATTTCTAAAGCGTATATGGACAAGGTGGTTTCTGGTTTTTTATTTTTTAATTTTAATTTGAAAGAAAATTATTTTACATGTCAAGGTGGTTTCTTAAGACACAGATAGTAAAGTGACAGTAGTTGCTGATTCTCTCTATATATTTCAAAATCTCTCCCCCCTCTCTCCCTCTCTCCCTCTCTCCCTCTCTCCCTCTCTCTCATATGTCTGTGTGACTGTCTGTCTTTCTGTCTCTCTCTCTGCGTGGTGTGTGTGTGTGTGTGTGTGTGTGTGTGTGTGTGTGTGTTGCTGCTGCTGCTGCTGCTGTTGTTTCTATTGTTGTTTTATAGGGGAGAAAAAAACAGCCAGCCCCAGAAGTAACACTTCAGAATAAAGAAAGAGCACAGAAAAACCACCTTTTGCTTCTTTTTACACCCTCCCCCCAACACTACAGAAAGAATGAAGAGTCACTAAGAAAGAGAGGAAAGATAGTATGACAAGCCATACCCATCAGAAACAAAGCATTGCATCCAGGGCAGTGCAGTCTTCTAGTGGGCCTCAACAGCATGCTTTAACTCAAGAATTCCACAAATCTGTCAAAAGCAACAGCAGAGAAAGAGCTGCCTGTTTACAGATGGGAAAAGGGAAGGGCTTGGGGGCTTTTTAGCCTGATGATATGAGTATAGTAGGCACTCAATAAATATTAGTCAAAGGATGAAATCATCTATATGAGGAATACTTAGCAGGGAACAAAAGTTAATCCCCACACTTATGCTCATGAGTTTCTTTCCAATTTTTCGGCACTTTCTGTTTGATTTATGTGGTTTTCCACGTTTAAAGTAAAAGCTGAATTGGGCAATATTTGATGATGTCCTTCTTTCTCCCCTTCTTGCCTCCCTCGGCTGCCATGTTTTAGACAGTTCCTCTTAGCTTTGTTCTTTTCTCCCTGCCATTGTGTCTATTACTTTTTCAGGGGCAAAAGACAAAAAAAAAAAAAAAAACCCAAAAGCTAGCAAGCACAAATGAATCTGAAGCAAATAATTTAGGAGTTAGTTGGCCATTCTACACATAAAGCATAAAGAAAATGATTCCTTTTAAATATAGGAGTTCTTTTAAGTAGTTTATGTGCAATATGCATTTCAAATGTAAAATTAAGACCAGAATGATTGGAGGGGTATTTTTTATTTTGAGAACAGGTCTTGCTCAGTGTGAGCCACCATACCAAGCTCAGAATGTTGCTGTTTTTTTCTTTCTCTTCCTTCCTTCCTTCCTTCCTCCCTCCCTCCTACTCCTTCCTCTCAGTCTCTGGCTCTCGGTCTCTGTCTCTGTCTCTCTTTGAAATTTCTCAGGTTTGCAACATGCCCCACTATATCAGAGAATATTTTGGTCATCATGAGTTACAATGCTACTGATGGAATGCCAGATGAATTCTTTTGGTTGTATTTAATTGAGCCATTTGCTCAAATTTCAATACATGGTTGTCAGGGATAAAATGCAGTTTCTCCTTACTTTTTTAAAGAACTTGTTATATTTCATTGTGGGGAGGTGTGTGCTTGCCACAGTGAGTGTCTGGAGGGCAGAGGATAACTTTCAGAAGTCTCTCCTTCCACCGTGTGAGTTCCAGGGATTGAACTCAGGTCATCAGGCTTACCAACAAGTACCTATACCCAGTGAACCATCTCACCAAGCTTCTTCTTTGCCTTTAAAGTTCAATTTGTTTTCTAAGAAAAGGAGTCATAAGGAAGGGCTTGTTGGGATAATATATGTGAGGGCATCACAACCATTAAGGCACACCAGGTTGCTAGTTTGAATTAAACTGTTATTTCCCACGTCTTGATTTAATGTTTAACATGAAACTGTTTTGTTTTGGTTTTGTGCTCATTGTACACAAAATGGGATACCAATCCTGATCAGTGCAGATTCTCATGCTACACAAGAGGGAGGGATATGTGTTTCATACCAGAACAGCATGAGAAAGCCACTTAAACCGTGTGCCACCATTCCAGACCCATATAACTCAGTGGTAGAGCACCACCAAATAAATAAATAAATAAATAAATAAATAAATAAATAAATAGTAATAAAATCCTAAGAGGCCATGTTAGTTATCTTTAACATGCAAGTTCCTGCAATGAAATTAAAATTCACTTCTGCCTCACATGGAAGTTTCCCTCTTCTCTGTATTTTTGCTTCAAAAACTCATACTTGAACATTACATAAGAAATGAGGTAACTTGTCTCTTGTATTTTTATGTATTCTAGAATTCCTTCTTGGACGCCTTCTTGCCTCCCGTGAGTTGTTACCCAACCCGCTGCAAGAATGAAACTCCTCAAGTTCCTAGGAGGGATCGTCTTCTTCACCTTCATGTTTTCCGGCTACTCGGAGCAAAATCAAGTGAATGTGCTGTGCTCAACCGATTGGTTCATGGTCACCGTTCACCCCTTCTTGCTGAATAATGATGTGTATGTCCACTTTTATGAAGTGCATTTGGGCCGGGGTTGTCCTCCCAACCACGTTCTCCCACAATTCTACCAGTTTACCTACCGCGTTACAGAATGTGGCATCCGCATCAAGGCTATCTCTCCAGATGTAGTTATCTACAGCTCTGAGATTCACTATGCTTCCAAAGGCTCCTCATCTAGATATGTGATCCCGGTGTCATGCGCTGCCCCTCGACGGTCCCCTTGGCTCACTAAGCCCCACTCCGTGCAATCTCCCAGCAATAACATGGCTTCGGCCCCGAGGAATGATACGAGCTACCAAGTGTTCAGCTTGCCGGAGCCAAGCCAAGGATCCAACTGCAGTTGTCCACCTTATGTCTTCAAGCAAGAGAGCATGTAAGCCCATCATCGAGCCGAGCCAAAGATCCAACTGCAGTTGTCCACCTCATGTCTTCAAGCAAGAGAGCATCTAAGCCCATCATCGAGCAGAGCCAAAGATCCAACTGCAGTTGTCCACCTCATGTCTTCAAGCAAGAGAGCATCTAAGCCCATCACCAGGCAGAGTCTTTGGAGGCCCATCTTGTGTAGTCATCTGACTCCACTGATATTTCTGGGGACTAGTGTGTTCACTCAGATGATATGAGGAAACCCATGTAGTGCCCAGATTTGGGGACTTCTGAAAACTCTGTTTCTGAAATTAGAATGTAGTATTTTCTACTGTCAGTCAAATAAGTGCCATTATGGCTTTCTAAGAAGAATTTTGTGAAGGGCCAATTCATATATACCCAATTATACCTTTCTTTCTTTTTTTACTATTTTTGTATCTTTAAAAAATAATAAAGTTCTGATGGCATTAAAGAATCAGTTGAATGGTTTTGCTTCATAAACACGTAGCACTTTTTAGCTATGAAACAGGAGTTAATCTACATGGCTTGCCGACATCTGTGCCTGGCTTTTTCTCTCCAGGATGATTTCCCACCCCTTCAGGTTCCTCTCCAAAGCCTTTCCCAGGAGAATCTCTCCCTCTATATCCCCATTTCCCGTCTTCTGTTTACAACCAACGAGCTTAGCACTAAGTCTCCCTTGTTTGATCTCCAGCTATACCACTTCTTATGTACAGAAAGGATAAGCTGGTTATCTTCAAGTCTCCAGTGATTCTGGGAAGCAGACAAGTCACGTTCCAATGGTCCCAGGCTAGGTTCCCAAGGCTGAGCTGGATCATAAGCTTACAGTACTTTGATAAAAGTCCTCTCACCCCCAACATAAACTATCAGAAACCAGCCACAAAGTGTGGCTGCCTGTTAGCTTTCTAAAAGGCTTGGAGCAACAAGAGGAAGTGAATAACTCAACAACTATTTATTATGCAGTGAAGTTACATGCAGACCTGGCTCTGGATACTGAGGGCATGGTAGTGAGAAGAAAGGGTCTCTGAAATCGAGGTCACATAGCTAGTAAACAAATAAGTAAATAAAGATAAACTCAGATAGTGACAAATGCTATGAAGGACTTCAAACAAAGTGACATGGGAAACTGGGGAGGGAGCAGGCCTCTAAGGTCTTGCCATTTGAACTCTGTCTTGGATGTGAAGACAGGGAAAATCTGGAAAGAAAAAATTCCACATAGTAGAAACCATCCCGTTTAACTCTCACTACAACCTTATAGAAGAAGTCCTCTTGTCACATCCTTTTTAAAAGTAAGAAAACTAGACTCGGCAGAGGCAGGAAGATTGCTATAAGTTCAGAATAATATAATCTACATAGTGAGAGTACCTCAAACACACACACGGTGGGGGCATTGAGGCATGGATGATTAAGAAAGCAGTTCAAGGGTGTATATAGCTAGTAAGAATCAGACTCTTAAAAACATCATGTATAGGGGCTGGAGAGATGGCTCAGTGGTTAAGAGCACCGACTGCTCTTCCAGAGGTCCTGAGTTCAATTCCCAGCAACCACATGGTGGCTCACAACCATCGTTATGAGATCTGGTACCCTCTTCTGGTGTGCAGATATACATGGAAGTAGAATGTTGTATACATAATAAATAAATAAATCTTAAAAAAATCATCATGTATATCATGAGCACAAAATTCTTATTTGTCAATAAAAATTACTTTTAAAGAAGAAACTAATGCTTAAGAGAGATGGAGTGGTGGTTAAAACCACTTGCTGCTTTTCCAGATGACACAAGTTCGGTTCCCAGAACCCATATCAGGCAACTCACAGCCATCTATAACGTGAGTTCCAGGAGATCCAAAGCCTCTGGCCTCTGTTGGCACCTGCACATACATGCTCCCATACACATACTTACATATGTACACATAATTAAATATACTAAAAGTAAATCTTGAAGTAAAAAGCACACATTGTTTTAACACGATTTTTCTCATTAATAAAGGTGAAGTGCTTCATGAGACAAATAAATATTTGAAAGGAAATCATCAAGAAAAGAAATTCCACTATGGTAGTTAAAAGGGACAGAGATTCATCTCAGTATCTCTAGCCCTTTTGGATAAAATGCCAGGTAGCAGTCCCTGGAAGCAGGGTATGGATGCAACAAATACTTATCATAGTTATCTGATATGTCAATCACTACGTTAGGTGTTGATAATTCAATGGCTGACAAAACTAACACAATCTGATGTGATAGAACCACAGAGATGCCTACAGAGTTAGAAACCACAAAGGCTATTCAAGCCCAGAGAATCGATTTGCACAAAGATATGAGGACCAGGGCTAAGGTCATTGGAGAAAGTGCTAGTAGTCTCTTTCAATACAGTGGAGGCAGGGCAAAGGGGCAGATGTTGATGGGAAACAATGAAAATGGTATAAAAAAAAGACTTCAAAGATGACAGAAATGACACAGAATGGTGTGTGAAAAAATGGGAAGAAAGTCAGATCAGTTTTAGTCACCAGGGCAACAGATAAAAACCAAGATGGCGGAGGCCTACAATTTACAAAATCGGGGACATTTGAGGAGGATCTTATAAGAAAGTTACTTCCAATGAGATAAGATGAAGGTGAAGGCCATTCTCGGTAAAGAGATTTGCAAAAAGAAATGTGCAAAAAGAACTGAGTCTCCCTTCCCCGGCAGCTATCAACAGCCAATAGCTCTTCAGCTATGGGTGGGACTTAGTGAGGCCCTTCCTGCTTCATCCTGGAATTTTAGCTGGCTAGAATTCCTGTAGGTCTTATGCATGCAGCCACAGCTGCTGAGAGTTGTGATGCAACATCCCCCAGGCTCTAGTCAATGGCCCCACCCCCACACACGCTGACATTACTAAATGGACTCATGGGTTTCAAAAATTACTATATGAAGTTGGAAGTGAAAAGTGATGAGGAAGTATGGAAGATATTGGGAGAAGGCAGGAGGAGTAGATTTGATAAAGAAAAGTTATTGCATACATGCATAAGAGTCTCAAATAACAAAAGAAAAACATGTATGAAAAGAACAGCTGATCAGTGATCATATTTCACATAACTTGACAACCCAATTTAATTAAGCAATGTTTTTAATCAGCAATAGGAACTGGAAGAGCAAAAAGCTATCTTAACCATTGAGTCATGCCTCCAACCCCTAAACCCAAATTTTTAGTTGAGTAATTTAGTTGTCTTGTGATCCACCACTCCAAAAGAATGTTTTCCTTCCTTATTGTGGTAAGGTTCAGTTAATTTGTAAGGTGACATGATTTATAAAACTCCATAAATAGTGTTCAGCATGTCTGTAATAATAGTAAGAAATGCTGTGTTGCCATTAAGGAAACG